TTGGCTTTTGTAGTCAGTTTACCACATGGTGCCTCACTTTTCTGTCATACCTCCTACTCCTTTTGTCTTCTTTTAAAATTGGGGATGAGATATAAAAGGTGCAGTAACCCAGCCTGACCATAGCAAAACATCTTCTGGCAGCTCTAGTGCTCATGCCCCGAGATACTGCGATAGCAGTGTAAAGAATTGCTTGATTGCCACAAGTTCATGCATAACAGAAATATGAAAATCTCTATTTCCTAGTATTTCTAGGCAGCAGGCTGCCTTCGTCTTGTCGTGAGGTCTGTACTGCTTGCTGATGTTATCACTGGGTTTTATAAAGGAACAAAATCCCAGCAGAAGTATATGAAGAAAAAAAAACCTGGAGATTGGCCAATATATGAATGAGATCTGTGCCTTCATGCATGCCGCATAAAACTTGAAGTTACTTTAAGATCTTCTCAGCTCCTATCTGTGAGTATTATGGGATGCACAGGAGCTGTGGATTAATTTATACTAGTTGGGTTTACAGCAGATCTGAGCTTAACTCTAAATTCTGGTACAGAGTTTGGTTATCTCAGCCAAATCACTTAATCTTTCTTATGCTCAGTTTCCTCATGTCTATACTGAAAAAGGAAATATCTTCTGTAAAGGTGACCTTCACATTTTTATTTCAAAGATATGAGACAAAACAATGGGTTTGTGAGGCCAGCTGTACTTCTGAGGATGTCATTTTAAAGGGTATAAAGTAGATTTTTCAGTACAGCCAGCTGCTTACTTTTTTTTCTATCCACTTCTTTATTTCTTTGCTGGGGAAAAGTGTAAGATTATCTTTGTAGTACACACCTTAGAAATTAGTGAGATAATGTTGAATAATCTAAGATAGAAAACTGTTTGGATGATCAGGTAAAGGTGAGAAAGGGAGATTAATTCTGCTATTCAGAATCAGCCCCAATGTAAAATACATGCAGTAGTGCTTCAGAGAGAGATTCCTCCTTTCTTTGATCCTGGATAACTGTTTGCGTGGGCAATACAGATATGCAATGTCAGTAGATCAGAATTCACTGCTAACTTTTGTTGCTATTAGCAGTTTACAGCTACTTTGCACAGTTATAAATGCACAAAATGCAAAAGTCAGTGAAGAATGTAATCTGAGAGACTAATTTCAGAGTAGTTTCTTTCCAGAGAACACACAATGAGTTGTTATTATTTTCTGCTGATTCTGTTGTAAATTCTGGTACCATAATCTCCAAAATTTGTCTCTGGGCTCCTCTTACTCTCCTTTTTCCATGTAATTATTCAAAGCAGGGCCTTTAGCAAAAGCTTCTTTATCTGTTTTTCAATGGGTTTCCTTTGTTGTTGTAACTGATTACCGTTAAGATTTTGTAGAAAATATCCTTCCATTCTTCTTTAATCAGAACTCTGCCAAGTCTCCCTTTAGCTGAGGTTCTTTCTAGTTGAATTGAAAATAAAATTTACCTCTTCTATCCCATTTTTATTCTTAGACTGTTCCAGGTGTAAGAATTCCCTGTGGGAGTCCTTATTTCTTATTTCCAATTCACATGTTGCATCAGAGTAAGAAATAGTTTCGCCCACGTTCAGTCTCTTTCACTGTAGAATAACAGTGCTTTTTTTAGCATCTTTCCTTTCTTCATTATAAGATATTGAAGAAGTACTTTGCATAGTCTTATAAAATTGTGGAACTATTGTCAGCTTGCAGATTACCTGCAATTACCTGGGATTTATGCCATTAATCTCTGTGATAGTCTTTATCATCACCTGTATGTGGCAAATTTTGAGTGGTATGCAACAAGATGATGAAGGTATTCAGTACTGCAGACACAGATCTGATGCATCAAGTATTAACTATGGCTCAATAATTATATTTAAATTTTTAGAAACATTAAAATAGTACAGTCTGCTTGCAATACTATCTGTTTTAAATCCTCTAATTGAACAAGTCATTTTAGCTAATCAAGAGACTATAGAAAAAGAAAGTAGGGCCAAATCCTCTTCCAGCTATTCAGAAATACAGTTTAATTAAGCAGGATGTTTAAGTATAGGATAAACATTTATACTTGTATTTAAATATATGCATAAGTCTGTTGCGTTAGAAGATAAGCAAAAACACCTTTCAAGTAGTTTACAAACTCATACAACAGTCACTGACAGAGGCACTGCATAAACCCTTCGAGCTGTGATGAAGCTGAGCGTTTGTGGGAAGGGAAAGCAGAAAATAACAGACAGGAAAATACAGGCAGTACAGACTCAAGAAAGTGATATTCAGAGGACGAAGGAATCAAATTGGAGCCTGTTCCAAAGGAAAGGGAGGCAAAGCCTCAAGCACAGGGATAGTACTTGATCTCTTCCTGTCTGGGATATCATTTTCTGATTATGTTTCTTCAGCTGGACAGGCACTGGGACCAAGGCTTCCTGTGGTTTTATTTTTACTTCCTATCTTCCTCACTCAGGAAGAAATTCCACTTTAAGATACCTTATGTCTTCTTTCAGAAATTCAAACAGACAGGCAATTTTAAAAAGCATGGTTACACGTTCCTGATGTGATGAGCCCTCCTGAGTAACTAACAGCAGGAGAGGGTTGAGTCTGTTCAGTGTTCTATTTAATTTTCCAGGTCAACATTTCAATTAGAGGAGTCAATAAATATTCCAACCATGTTGAGTAGATAACTTTACCTGGTATTTATGAAATCATTTGAAATCTCTGGAATGCCCTTCAGTTACCATCAATACATTGTTCATATGCTGTAACAAATATTCTGATTATGTTTTTAGCTTTTACAGATCAAGTCTTGATGAATCTGACTTCTTAATAACAATTAATGTTGTTAATTGTCAGTGAGCTCTCTTAAAAGAGAAAAAGTATAGAGGTTTGACTCATGCACTTAATGGGCACTTTTTGTCATTTGAATATTGTCTGCCAGATAGAGGTAAATATCATCTGGCAGATCTCTCGATATTCTGTTGCATTTTTAGCTACCCACCGTTCTCTGAAAGGATTTTGACATCTTTTTCTGTGACCCAGACTTAGCTGTACTAGTCATGCCAGAAGCTCATTGTTATACAAATGCTTTAATTCTCCTTTTGAGCCCTGAACTAATATTCCTGAGTTCCACAGAAATCCTGGAATTCCTTTCTTTTCAGAAATTTCCCCTTTCTCTTTTCCTAGAACATCTTTGTTATTGCTTTGCTAGGAGCTGATTTGGGTCATCACTTGAAAATGAAGTTGTTATAAAATGGCCATGCTGACAGATGGCATAAATGGCATAGCTAATCAAATGCACTCCAATGTTTTAGCAACAACCAGAAATTATCATCATGCTACTAAATGAAAGCGTTAAAACGCAATCAGTAGCTTGGGTAGTGCATTGGAATGAGAGTTTCCAGAATTCTAGCTCAACGATCCAGCAATGATGGTATCCTCTACGGCTGACTTTTCATTGCCATATGCCTCAAACAGGTTTGCTTGGAGACAGACATAACCAGTTCCTGATAAACTTTTCCAATAATACTGTTTGGACTCACCATTGAATGGACATAAAATGTAAAACAGTGTCCAAAGTTTTAGGTGTTCTTAGACTCTTAGAGCCAAGTCATCTGAAGAGCGTTTCCCATGTTCATGATAGCTTTTCCAAATCTTCCATGTGGCAGGGATCTTTTCATATTTTGTTAATTCCTGGGAAAAAATCAACAACTACTTGCCACTATCTTTCAGCATTTTTGTAAAAAGACTGTGAAAATAACTGTGAATGTGTGCCTCTGAGATAAGTTTTTGATCATCTAATCTTTGGAGACTTTAAGTTTGACACCAGATACAATATTTAGATACAATATATAGTCTAATATGAAAGACCATTAATCACTGATAGATCTAGGTACTATTCGGCCTATGTTAACATGGATCTCTAATGGCAGTAATTGTTTCTGTTCTTTAAAAACATATTGAGTGGTTTGATACCATTTTTAAACCTGGAGTTTGATTTTCACATGTACCAAGTACATCACAAACCCATTATATTTCAGTCTGAGATATCACTTAAACGTAATCAATTTGGGAGTTTTCAGTACATCTGAAAATTATAGTAATTGTCCTTCGAGGTGGCTGTAGGAATTACTGATGAAGTTCCTCAAACTTCAGAGAATGATGGGAATTGACACTTCCATATTTTGTGTTCTGCTGGTAGCTGGAATGTCACTGCTTCTCTCTGCTTTCAACGTTCCCCTTTATTCTAACTTCTGTTGAGACAGAAACCTGCAAAGTTTGGGGCAGCAGCGTCGATACCTCAGCAGAGCACTTGTTCATTCACCATTCAGTGAGAATGAGGAAAAAGCTCCTCATTGTGGCCCTGATTCCTGCATGTTGGGAAGGAGACTTCTGTAGTTCATTGGGATACATTTTCATTTTGGGGATTTATCTTCTTCCCTATGATAGGATTTTGGAAGCCAGATGATGCAAAGTGACATCTGTTAGGGTTGTGCGTTTTTTTTTTTTAAGTAACACTGCAGATTGTGGAATGATCAGTGTTAATCAGTACAAAAATGGCTAATAAATAGGTTATAAAAGAATTGACATTTTCTCAAAAATCTTATCAAAGAAAGATCTAGGTTCTGCTCAAAATATTTTTACAGAAGAGTTTGTGATCCCTCATAAGATCTTACATTGACTTACATGCTGCTATAAAAATAATTCCACTCTTCCATTCTTCCATAGTGGATGGTTTCCCTAACCTGATGGAAGTGCTGTGGCACTTGGCATGTCCTAGCCTCTTTCAAAAACAAAAACCAAAAATTACTGCTTAAATAGAGCTAACCATAGCAGTGACCTTTCTTTCTCAATTAGTCTTACTAAAAGACAGTAAAGTGAGAAAACAACATAAATCATACAGATTCTAAAATAAATTATGACAGATACTTATTATCTCTTTCTTCCTCTCCCATCCTTCCTTGTTCTTATTTTCTCCTATTTCCGTCTGGACAACTTCTATCTATTTCCTTTTTTAAAGATGTTCCAGTGGATTTGATCGTCACCGGCAAGACTGGGTAGACAGTGGCTGCCCTGAAGAGGTATGTGAGTAGTTTATGTTATCAGACTAGTTACCAGAAGGCATTTATATATTTTTGATGGTTTGGATTTTTAGATTATGAAGCAGGGTTTCAAGGCCATAGATATGCTATATTTGTTATTTAGTGTTGATAGTATTGGTAAGCTATATTAAAGAAAAATAGCCTGAGCAGTTTTCCTCTCTATTTGAAGAAATAAAATGGACACAAAGTAAAAATCTTATCTTTGAGAAAGTACTTTAAATAAATAAGAGAAGTACCAGGAAGCCTTCCCCAAAACAATGCCCTTGCGATGTTTTTCTCTTAGATCTATGACTCTTGCCAGAAGGGAAGAATGTGTGATATTCTTCTACCCAGAAAATCTGCTGCCAGAGCAGTCTCAAGAGAAAAACAAGCATTACATGCCTTGTGCTTTGGTTATGAAGTTTGGCCAAATCATTTGGTATAGAAAAAAATTATACGTTAATTAGTAGAGTGTTTGGGTGGTTTTATTTTGTTTTGTTTTGTTTTGTTTTTAATACAAGGCACTCAGGCCTCCTTTTATAGAGAGGCAGCAAGAGAAAGCGGGAGGTTCCAACGATGCTAGTGATGGATGGTCAATCAGGGATTACAGGCTTCCTGTAAAGGAAGTATTTAGGATACTCTGGGCCAGTTCATTTGCAAGTTACGTTTATAAATATCTAAATGCCAATTCTGTCCCCGTGTTCTCCTTTTAGAAATTGTTGGGAGGGGGTTGCTGGGTTTTTTTGTTTGTTTTGTTTTGTTCTGTTTTTTCATTAGGGGATTGTTGTGGTAGGAACAAATTAATTTATGAGACTTTTAATCTCCTGATGGCCATAAAAAGCGGTGTCTTTTCTATCTTGGCTGACAAGGCCAAATTCTGCCATTAGTTCCAGCAACATAGCCTTTCTGAAATGTAATGCCAGGTGAAACTAAGGGCAAAATTTAGTCACAAAAGTGTAGTTAGAAAAGCTCATTCTTTTTTTAAGCTCAGGAAAAATAAAGGGAAGTAATGATACAAGTCCAATCTTCTGGAAGAATTTTTTTCATGTAAGCGTAATTGCAAAATAACTGCACCAACATCCTGCCTTATTACACAGGCTTGACGCTTTAGTTTTGTAGTTTACATACTGCTGATTTGGCAATGGAATTTCTTAAAAGATTTACTGTGCATGGAGGGCAACCTTTGCAAGATGATAGAAGTTATCAGTAATATTTGCACAGGGTACAACCTTTGTTTTGATCTAATCCAGATTATAAGTAGCTAGGACTCTGGTGCCTGTAGATGAAGTTACCCCCAAACAGTTCTCTGCAGGATTGTAGCTTCCCATTCTGGCTTTTCCTTGTTGTTCCAGACTTCCTGATTGCTGTTCACAGTCTAGCATTTACACTGTCTGGAGTAGGCACAACAGCTTGCTTAGCATCCTCCTGAACTTACTGCTGGAGCTCAGCTATCAATAATTAGTACACAGAGGTTAATTTTAGATGTATTCATTCAAGGAAATGAACAATGATGATTCTCACAATAAACTTTCCTTCATTGCAATATAGATTTTGAGATAAATTTTGAGTAAATTGTCTCGATGAAATTAATGTCTTTCAAGTTAAGCGTGAGCAAATCTACAGAATAATTAGATTGCCACTACTGATACATTTTTAATGTAATATATTGTTTCCAATAAAACAAAGGAGCATAAAATTAACTATACATTAAAAGCAAGATAACACACTTTGACAGGAAATTCTCAATAAACAGATTCTGTGATATTCCACTTCTCATTAAAATGGATTGGGAGGGCAGGAATTATAGGCAGTTACCATATTTGCTGCTATTTGCTTTATTTGATTTTATATATATATATATATTTTAATTGTATGATCCCCAAATAAAAATGTTCATTACATCTGCAGAATATTTTAAAATGTCCAGAACTTGTTAAAAAGAAAAAGACTAGAGATACAGGTATGAAAATTTCCCTGTGAACATAAAACTTAAATTATTGAAAGATGGTGTTTATTATTTATGCTATATATTATATTATACATGTATATAATGTATATATATATTTATATTAGAAATAATAGTTACATATAGTTAATAGTTTTTTGTAGACCGTGAGTATATGAACTTTATAGGAACTTGAAGACATGCACGTATTTCATACATTTGTGCATATTCTTCTGTGATAAATGCATGCAAAGCTTAGTTAAATCCTAAAATTAATTACTCAATATTCACTATGAATAACCATGATTCAGTTCCCATGTTTCTTACTTTAACACATTTTGTGGCAACCACACTATGACACATTAAGCATTCACAACAGAATACTGATAATAGGTTGATAATCTTGGATGTTAAAATCTAATTGGGGGAAATAATATGTTTGAGATTCAGGGATCTGGAAGTTCAATCATTCATTAACAATTAAGCATTGTAAGGTTTGTAGCTAAATGAAAAATATACGTTGTTGAATGCTGTGTAAAACATTTCACTTACTTACTTAAAAGGAGAAAGAAAAGAAAAAAAACTCTTCAAGTCTTTCATTTAGAGATTCTGTTTTCATTCCTTTTATCCTGACAGCTTGTTCGTGCTTAAATTCTTCATTCAGTGACAGTCTCCACTGAAAATTAATTTTCTCTTCTTTGTTTTCATTGTTTCTTAACAGTCAAAAGATAAGGTTTGTGAAAAGAATATTGAGGAAATAGAAACACCTCCTTACTCCACCACCAGTCAGCCAACCACCACAAGATTCAGAGTTTTAACTACCACCAGAGGATCCACTACTTCCCACCTGCCAACTAGCCTGCCTACAGAAGGTGAATTACACAGACTGCTGTAGTCAATAATACAAAAATGCTTATATACAAGTCAAAAAAGAAAAGGTATCCTTTAACTATGTTTTCATGTTAACATCTTTGCTGTAGGACAGTGGAAAGAGCAGGGAATACCAGTGGTGATATATGAGGTTATTTTTAAACCGTGACTTGGAGAACAAGGAGCATTAAACCTTGTTTTTGTTTGAGCAGTGGCACAAATCCATCTCTAAACAGCTGTCTTATTCTATGCTACCTACCTG